TTCGCGGGGGGGAGTTTCTGGGGCCGGCCGGGGGGGGGGGGGAGGGCCCCGCCACTGACAGAGCTGCATCCATTGTCATGGGCATATATATATATATAGAGAGAGAGAGAGAGAGAGAGAGAGAGAGAGAGAGAGAGATGCTAGTGTAACTGCAGGCATTAATCTGGGAAGCTAGGGCCATGCTTCATCAGCAATAAACAAGCTGGGTGCTTTCATACCTTAACCGATCTTATGGTTATTGGGAAGTTCGCTCGAAGTCTGCGGTGCCAGTTGTCTGCGCAGAGCTGGGACGGCACACAAAGAGAACACACACACATGCAGCCGAACATCTAGCAGCATGTGACCACACCAATGATTTGTGAGATAAAATGGGCAAGTCATTAAATCTCTTTGTCCTTCTGTCTCCCTCATCCTTAGTCTGTTTACACTGTAAACTCTTCTGGGTAGGGATGGTCTCATGTATTTGTACACTCAGGGTGGGCATCTAGGCACTACTATAATACAAATAAATGATACCCATTGGGTATTATTCAGAAGAGCAGCTCTGTCTGAGCTCAAAAGCTTGTCTTTTTCACCAACAGAAAGATATTACCTCACCCATGTTGTCTCTCTAATATCCTGGGATCAACACAACTACAACACTTAATGCATTACAAAAGTGTCCATTGTCCTTCATGCCTACATCGCATGATTTTGTGGAGACAAAAGTTACTGCGTACTCAAACTTAAGTCAGTAAGATGCTAACATTTCCCATCACCATTGCCTACAGTCATAAAATGTTCTCTGATCACACTGCCCCATGAATGATATTTCATAGCACATAAAAGTGGTGTCCAAAGTACAGTCTATACCTCCTCTGTGATGTTTTAGGATACTGTAGAAAAGCTATTAAATAGCCATAATCGAGATGAAAAAGAACTTTTGGCTATTTAGCCTCATTCTCTGCCAGTGCAACATTGTTCATTGCAATATAATTCCTAGTCCTTAGTTCAGTCTTGGTTTTAATGAAATGCAGAAGGACCCTCCGTCCACTATTTGGAAGATTATTCCACAGCTACTAGCTTTCATTGTCAGGGAGATTTTAAAGAAATGTAGCATAATTTTCCATGTCATTCTATCCCATTGCTCTGATTATCACCATAAAAGTAATGATCCTTCCTTGGTATTTACACTATTCAAATATTTCTATCTTTACACCTTCCTCTGCCCCTGCAATCTTATTAGTCATCTCTAAAGCCAACTCTACTTAGGCCTTTTAGTTTTTGCTTCTAAATCAAGCTTTCCAGTCCCATAACCATTTTTGTTGCTCTTCCTGTACTACCTCTTGTGTGTTCATAAAGTATCAGAATTGAACACAGTACTCACCCAGCTAGTCTCTAGTTCTAGATTCTTTGCTTACACTAGATCTGCAAAGAGCTTAGAGAGGAGCATGAGTGTCAACTCAGTTTTTAATTTCCCTTCCAGATAGATCCCTGAAGTGATTCTTGATTATCCTCAAATCCTCCACCCTTCATTATCAATAATACCTCATGCCACCACCCACAAAAATCTTATTTAAAAGCAAAACAAAAAAAGAAAAACCCAAACAAAAAAACTTCATTAATTTAGAACACATCTTGCTAGGTTTAAGAAATATTGTTGAAGGAGATGATCAGCCTCAAAGAAGACTACTATAATCTCCATTTGACTTTATGCCTATAATTCATAAAAAATGTGGATTAACACAGTGGTTAAAAACCTCATGAATTTTACACCCTGCTTACATATAATTGCCCTGGTTGTCATTTATACAGCATAATTCTTGTTTAGACTAAATCATTTTCGTTCAGTGATCACAAGAGCCAGGATTTGAAACCAGCTGGAAATTGACTTTAAAATAGAATGGAACTTCGAGCCTCTTTTCACTTTTCATGTCAAATGAGGGGGCCGGGGTTAGGGGGAGTAAACAGAATGAAATGGTTACAATTTTTTAAAATATTCTTCATTTTAATAAAAGTCAAACATAGTATTACAGACTCTACTATCTAGTCAGTCATCCTTGATTACTAGTGGCAAGTTCACTTGAACTGTATTTCAACCCACGAAAGGACTATTAAATAGACTAACCCCAAATTTGAAGCTTTAGAAGAAAAGTATTAAAAAGCCTTATGCAAAGTTTTCAGTTATTTTAATTTTGAGGGACAGGTTTATTGTTGTTGTTGTTGTTGTTTAATTCAAAACATGTATAGGGCACAAACCTGAAAACTAGAAAGTGAAGCTGATCAATCTAATTTCACTGATCAAGCTGAGCGAATCACAAAAAAGAAGTAAAAGGTAAAAACAAACCAGATTTTACAGATATCATATGTAAATAATTAACACAAGGTGTAAGGCAGTAGAGAATCAGACTGGGTATCTTTACTTTTGTTTTGCACAGGGTGCTACACACATTGACTGAGGTATGATTATTAATGATTAAAATAATTAAATTAGTAATACTGTAATCAAACCGTTTGATTAAATTTTGCCATTTGAATGTATCTAAACACTTGTTTCAGATACCAGATTTCAGCTGACCAGCCAGCGGATTCTTATTTACACTGATGCTCCTTTGCACTATTATGGCAGTGTCCAGGGGCCTTAGAGTGGATTTAAATTATACCCAGTGTGAGGCTACTGGGCAGTGCCAAACTGGTATAAGGGGCTTCAATAGAAATAAGAATAAGGTCCTAAGTTCCCTCTAAGCTGCGTGGCTGCCCAGCTGCCTATTAAGCCCCACGCCGGCCAAAGCACAGACCTGCCATGGCAGGGCGAGGCGCCCCTCCCAGCGCAGACCTGCCCTGGACTTGCCGCAGCAGGGGGAGAGGAGCCCCTCTCCCAGCCCGGCCCAGCCAGGGAGAGGAGCCCCTCCCTCGGCCCAGCCCAGTCCCACTGGAGCTACCGTGGCCGGGGAGAGGCACCTCTGCCGCGGCCGTAAGCTGCTGTGGCAAGAGAGGGCTGGGGGGGAGTCCTCTCTCCCCCCTGTAGCCCCGGGGCTGCCTGCTCCCCAAATCCCTCATCCCCAGGGCCCACCCCACCCCAACCCTCTGCCCCAGCCCTGAGCCCCCTCCTGCACCCAAAACCCCTTATCCCCACCCCACCCCAGAGCCTGCCCCCCAGCCAGAGCCATCATCCCCCCACACCGTAACACTCTGCCCTCCAGCCCTGAGGCCCCTTCCACACTCCAAACCCCTCAGCCCCACCTCCACCACATGAATTTTGTGATGTGCACCAATATGGAGGCCATGTGTCACATCATCTCCATATTGGTGCTCATAACAAAATTCATTCCGCACATGGACTTAAAAAATTAGAGGGAACACTGGTCAGGTCCAAAGATATTAATAGAATTCAACAACACAGGTCTGATCAACCCATGTTCTAACATGGTTCCCCAAAATGCACACGTCCTCAGTTTATGGGATTCTTATCTCAACATCCTTTTTCTCTGTACCAATAGACTGACCTGATATTTTCCTATTATACTTTTTACACTAATATTCTGTTAGTATTAGATTAAAATATTTTTTTGGCTTTGAAACAGAAAATCCCTATGCCACTCAAGAAAGGTCAAGGGGACAAGATAGTGTAACCTTCAAGATGCATTACTCACTTTTAAAGAAAGATGTGCCTCAATCAGTCTCAAAATAATGCCTGGGGATATAGTCACTGACACTCTCTACAGCTTCCTCTTTGAAAACTAATTTTTACAATAATTTTTTTATTAAGAACAAATCTCAGTAAATTGACTAATTGAAACTTAAAATTTAGGAATGAATTTCCACTCAAATCAACATTTTGGGGTTAGGCTCATTATGTTTTGTACCTACATTACTAAGTGACATTTGTAAGGAAAGGAAAATGGAGGTTGGCAGAATTTTTTTAAAGCATTAGAAACTCCTGATCTGTTCCATATCATTTGGCAAAGACTTTTAATCTATGTAGCCGTCATAGCTGTACCTGACATGATCATTATAATAAATGCTATACAATATGATGTTTATGGTGAAGTAAAAATACAAAAACACATTGCATGAATTTTTTTATTTAACTACATATAAGTACATGTGAACAATTGGCATAAACCCCATAAAAATACAGTACTTTTTTGTGCTGTAACACTATTTAGTCACAATGTTTATATAGAAAGATATCCTTTTTACTGCTTTCTTGAAACCCATCAACATATTTAAAAAAAATTCTCTTCTCCTAAGCCCTTTTTAGTGATCCAGTTTCCTTATAGAAACTTTACCAAAATGTTTTTTGTAAAAGTTAAAAAGTTAATATGTATTTTCAACCCTTTATCTGCACCCTCCCAATAAAGCAAATTTTAAAAAAAAATCAAATACATAAAATACTGATCAGCTTTTATTCCACAGTTTTCACATATGTTCAACATTTTATTACTACTCTCACAGCTGTAAAAGAGGTTTATTTCTACAGCATCTATTACTGCTAGATGCAGTCAAGGCTGAATATCCAGTACAGCCACCTAGACCACTGTCATGTCATTAGGCTGCTGATTGAACAATTAACATTTATATAGTCTCAAAAGTTACAAATCTAGATTACTTGTGATGTTTTCAAGTGGCTGTAACATATAGAATTTATAACATCTTGTTTGTTAATAGCCTGTAGGGTATCCTTGCTCTAGTACACCGGGAAATGAATTCCTCTGTGAAATTAAGTCCTGTACCATCCACAATGGCCACATTATGGTGATAGAAATAAGAAAAAACTTCAAAGCAGGAAGGATAATTGCACTCTACATGGTCAGACAATTCAAGGAGAGTATATTTAACATTTGGTTTAGTGATTAAATTTACACAAACTTTTGACTATAATCATAGTACCGTCAGGTTAATTTTGTTACAAGGTTTTTCTTCAGTATTATTTGGATACTTTTAAAAACTATTTTTAAAAACCAGGATTAGTTAAATAAAGCAAGATGTCCAATGTACAACAGAATCTTTATACGGGCTTTAATAGATGGGGAAAGAAAATGTGATATGAACTAGATGCATTTCCTACAGAATTAAGATGTAGCTCTAGCACTGTTAAGGCAGTGCAGAGTTTATTTTATTACCTTACTAAAGCTACACAACAACAAGGATAAATGACAGATTTTGCCTGAATAAAATATTTTTTCCCTTCTTAAACTTCACATGTGCATGTTTGGTTGTTTTGAATGTACTAGAATGTTTAAAATCCTTGGGCAATCAGAAGCTAAGCTACCGCTCAGTTGCAAATATTCCTCTCATTGGTTTAATTATTTTTTAAAATTAATATTGAAGTTAAGGTTCCAAGCACATGCAAAGTGCACATCATCTAAAATGTGCAGTTTCAAGATTGTTTAAAAACTATTTCATTTAAAAAGACAAACTTAAAGGCCTGACATGTTTTTAAAGTGATCCAAAACTATCAGCAACCCTTCTTCAGTTTCTCTTAAAACCATTCTTCACACAGATATGGCTAAAGAAATTGTGTGACTTCTTCAGAAATGTGTGATCAGTATCACGTTATCCAAAGAGGAATATGGGGAGTGGTCATTATATTGTGATGGTGATTTAAGAAGTCTGCTGCTAGATGCTACAGAACCATCCATTAGTTCCTAATTACTAGCACCAATGGTTTAAATAATCTTGCTTTGCTAAGGCAGACTGACAGCATTGTTTCACAATCGGATTGGTTTTGAGAACTGTTGTTACTTTCTACAGCCACTTAACTTTTGTTTGGATCAGTATTTATTAAAGAGTGTGCAAACATATAATCATTTGCATAGCAAACCTCAAGAGACTGACCCTGAAATAGAAATCCAAACTGTCAGGTTAAGGTACTTCTATAATCAGAATTCCTTTAAAATGACAAAAAATTAAAAATATACATTTCCTCATTTTAAGTTTAGTATAAAAGGTGTTTCTGATTTAGAATTTTTATATGGTTAGCAGTTAAAAAGTTGAAAAAGTTTGACAGTTCTTTGCACTGAAGTGTTATTCCCTTGTAACCTTCAAGACTCTGTAAATACTGTTCTGGAATACTGTGTTGAAATATGGCCTGGGATCCTTACTCATAAGGTTACATAAAGGAATTTTGCCAGCATTGGCAGGTTCTTCCACATCCCAAATTTCAGGCATACTGCAACCGGGCCTAGAAAATATTTGAATATGTAAACAAAAATAAAGAAGGACAGGTAAGGAAATGTAATCAAAGAAACATACGGCAAGTTTGTTTTATAAACTAAGGGTTAAAAATGACTGACCTACAAAGGGGAAAAAAGAGTTTCTGAACTCTTGCTTCTTTATGATGAATTACGGAAAGCACTTTAAGGGTTTTTTTCACTTGTCTTTACATTGGAAATACAGGTCAGATTGGAGAATAAGTGAAAAAAAAATGGTTACCTACCTTTCATAACTGTTGTTCTTTGAGATATGTTGGTCATGTCCATTCGATTTTAGGTGTGTGCGCACCCACGTGCGTGGTCGGTGATTTTTCCCTTAGCAGTATTCATAGGGTTGGCTGTGGCGCCCTCGAGTGCCATGCTCACATGTTGGTATATTAGGTGCCACCGTCCCTATGTCCTCTCAGTTCCTTCTGGTCAGCAACTCCGACAGAGGGGGCGGGTAATGGAATGAACATGAGCAACACATCTAGAAGAACAACAGTTACGAAAGGTAGGTAACCGTTTTTCTTCTTCGAGTGCTTGCTCATGTCGATTCCATTCAAGGTGACTCACAAGCAGTATCCGTGGAAGTGGGCTCGGAGTTCTTGGCCTTGCAGCTTGCAACACTGCTCTGCCAAAGCCAGCATCGTCTCAAGCTTGCTGGGTAAGTGCATACTAAGACGTGAACCTGTGGACAGATGACCAGGTAGCGGCCCTACAGATCTCTTGGATTGGCACCTGTGCCAGGAAGGCCGCTGATGTCACTTGCACTCTAGTCGAGTGTGCTGTCACGATTGCCAGTAGAGGCACTTTTGCTAGCTCATAGCAGTAGCGGATACAGGCCACGATCCAGAATGAAATCCTCTGAGCAGACACTGGACGACCTTTCATCCTGTCTGCCACCGCAATGAACTGTGTTGACTTGCGAAACAGCTTTGTCCTGTCGATGTAGAAGGCCAGTGCCCTCCTGACATCCAAGGTGTGCAACCTGCATTCCTCTTCCAATTTATAAGGCTTCAGGAAGAAGACAGGTATGTATATGTCCTGGCCGGTATGAATTTCGGAAACTACGTTGGGTAGGGATGCTGGGTGTGGCCGCAACTGGACCTTATCCTTGTAGAATATCGTTTAGGACACCTCTGAAGTAAGCGCCTTGATCTCAGACACCCTGCGGGCAGACGTTATCACAACCAGGAATGAAACCTTCCAGGAGAAAAGAGGAGAGCAGGAAGCCAGAGGCTCAAAGGGAGGCCCCATGAGCAGTGACAGCACAAGATTCAAGTCCCAAGGAGGGACAGGACCCCAGGCGTGAGGGTAGAGATGCTCCAGAGCTTTCAAAAACCGGGCGGTCATGTTTTGAACGAAGACCGACCTGCCCTGAAGCAGAGGGTGGAAGGCCGAAATAGCGGCCAGGTGGACCCTGATTGATGACAGCGACAATCCTTGGAGCTTGAGGTGTGGAAGATAATCCAGCAAGGCCTGGAGACATCATTATGAGGCCCAGCACATGAACGTTTTCCACTTGGCCAGGTAAGTTGCTCTGGTGGAGGGTTTTTTGCTACACAACAAGATCCGTTGAATCCAGGCCAAGCATTCCCATTCTTCCACATTCAGCCATGCAGAAGCCATGCTGTCAAGTGCAACACCACCAGGTTTGGGTGCAGAAGACTGCCATGTGTCTGAGACAGCAGGTCCGGCCAGAGAAGTAGCTGCAGCAGGACAGCTACCGAAAGATCCAGCAGCGTGCTGAACCAGTTCTATCGAGGCCACGTGGGGGCTATCAGGATAACCTTTGCCCTGTCCTGTTTGATCTTCACAAGGACTCTATGGATCAACAGCACTGGCGGGAAGGCATACTCAGGGCCCCTGACCATGGGAGCAAAAAGGCATCTGACAGGGAGCCCCTACCCCAGATTGAACAGAACACATGGCATTTCCTGTTCTGACAGGATGGGAACAAGTCCACCTGGGAAGTCCCCAGAAGATCATACTGACCTCCTCAAGCTGGAGAAACCACTCATGGCAAGATGAGAAGGTACTGCTGAGGTGATCTGCTAACACATTCCTGGTCCTGGGCAGATGCACGGCTACCAAATGAATGGCATGCCGCACACAGAAGTTCCAAAGGTGGAGAGCTTCTTGGCAAAGGGCCAACGACATGGCTCCACCCTGCCTGTTGATGTAATACATCGCAGCAATATTGTTCAGCGGGACCTGCACCACCTTGCCTTCAGGTGGGGCAAGAATGCCTGACAGGCCAGGCAAACCGCTCCCTGATTTGTTGAGGTGTCGCAGGTCCAGAATAAGTCTTAGGTCCCATTTGCTTTCGGGATTAGGAAGTAGAGGGAGTAGAAACCTTTTCCTTTTATGTCCCAAGGGACCTCCTCCACCGCCCCCAGGTGCAGGAGGTTCTTGACCTCTTGAACGAGGAGTTGCTTGTGAGACGGGTCCCTGAAGAGGGACAGGGAATGGGTGGGGTGGGAGGGAAGGAGAGCCGAGAATTGCAGGGTGTAGCCCGGAGATACTATCTCTAGCACCTAGCAGTTCGAGGTGACCCATGACCAGGTCGAACGGTAGGGATGAAGACAATTGAGGAAAGAACGACGTGGATCCGGGGAGTTAACGGGGGCGTCACTCTCGAGTGCACCTTCAAAATGAGCACTTCTGGCCCCCAGGATGCTTTGCCGGGCTGGGTTGCTTGAGTGAGCAGGAGGAGGAAAGGCGGTGACGACTAAAGCTCATGTCTCTATCCCTTCTCCCTTGCAGACCCCTGTTGAGGTCGCCAAGGCCTTGGCAGTGGTGGCGGCCGAAACTGCTTCTTCGCCGCTTGCAGCGTATGCGGACACAGCGAGCAAAGGGTGGCCCATGCAGCCTTGCATCAGTCTGCTCCGCAAAGAGACCATTCCCATCAAATGGGAGATCATGAATTGAGGCCTGCATTTCCTAGGATGGGCCAGAAGTCTGAAGCCAGGAGCTACGCCTCATGACCACCATCGATCCAAACACTCTAGCTGCTGAATTGGCCACATTCCACACCATCTGAAGGGAGCACCTCGCTGCTGCAGGACCCTCCTCTCCCAGGGTACCAAAATCCTGGGCCAAGTTCTGGGGCAGGGACTCCTTGAACTTATGGAGAGTCTCCCATAAGTTGAAGTTGTATCTGCTGAAAAGAGTCTGGTGGTTCACCACCCGGAACTGAAGGCTGGCCGTTGAATAAATCTTCCTTCCAAAAAGCTCTAGCCTCTTGGCCTCTCTATTTTTGGGGTCGAACTGGTGTACACATTTGCCCTTCTCATTGGCTGCTGAGACGACCAGCAAGCCTGGAGGCAGGTGGGTATACAAGTACTCGAACCCCATGGCTGGCACGAAGTACTTTTTCTCAGCCCTCTTGGAGGTGGGAGGGACGGACGACAAGGTTTGCCAGAGGACCTTGGGTTTTTTTAAGACCCCATTGTTCACTGGTAGTGCAACAAAGGCAGGGCTAGATGCCGAGAGCATACTGAACAGGATGTCCACCTGTTCAGTCATCTCCTCTACCTCCAGGCCCAAGATCTTGGGCCACCCGTTGAAGCAGGGCCTGGTGCTCTTTGAAGTCGTCCGGCAGGCTGGCACTCAAGACCCCCCCCCCCACCTCATCCAGGAAGGAGGATAATGACTGGACCATCGGGGGAGGCCCCAGGGCATCATACCCTGTGGGGGAAGAGGGTTTTGGGGTGGGCACTCAATCCTCTACCCCGACCTCCGAGTGCACTTTGTGCACCGAGCCTGGCACCGCCAGCTGTTGCTCTGAGGAGGCAGCCAATGAATGATGCAAAATGGGCATCAGCATCACAAGCATGCCCCACGCACTCCAGTAGGGCCACTGTGCTGGCCACTGGCTGTGTTGCCAAGATGGCATCACAGAGATTGATGCAGCTCAGGTGCCCAACCGCACCAGTGATGCCTCGGCAAGGGGCTGAATTCCTTCTCTGTGCCAGAGGACTCCCCTTCCGGTGATCATGGTGGAGCTGTCGATGCCTGCATCTGGTGGCTAACCGTTGCCACTAGAGACCGGCGTTTTGAATAGGAGGACCGTCAGTGAGAGGACTGGTACCGCAACAGAGACTGTTCCCAAGCTGTGGGGGATGGGGATCTGTGCCGAGAAGATGACCAGCGGGAGGGTGACAGGCACCTCCCCCTAGGCTATCTGCGTTCAGAGGGCAAAGACCGCAATCGCGGTGTAAGTGATCTAGGGCAACTTGCGGAGGACCTGGGTTGTGAAGCCGGAGATCTGCGGCGCAGAGACAGAGAGGGTTGTCTTGGTTCTGGGGATTGGCGATGCTCACTTGCCCTCTGGAGGGGCTTGATGGCTGACTTGACCTTGTAGGGAGCCTTTACCGCTTCCTGAGACGCACGTGGCACCGGCGATGCTGGTAGAGGCCTCTGCGCTCTAGGCGCCGGGAGAGCCTTGGAAGGTGTCAGCCCTGCCATAAGCCTGCGTCCCCAACTGCTCCCAGGAGTTGGTAGTGGATCTGTTGGGGGGCTAGGGGCCCCCATTGGGGAGGTACATCCATATGGCTCTGGTGTGGGCGGGTGGCCCGAACTGGGTCCTTTGCCCGATACCCCAGGCCTTTCTTGCTCAGTGCCGGGGAGCCGTCTTTCTTGGACTTCTTTTTGGGCACCAGTGCCAGAGAGCGGTGCCAGGGGTGCATTACGCACGAAGGCCGAAATGCTAGGGGTAGACAGAGTCTGGCTGGGAAGGCTCGGAAGCCGGGTGGAGAGCAGCTTCCATACGGAGGACCCTCAAACGAATGTCATGCTCTTTCTGGGTCCTTGGTTGAAAGTTCTTACAGATGTAACACTTGTCTTTCACATGCAATTCCCCCAAGCACTTCAGGCAGCTGCTATGGGGGGTTACTAATAGGCATAAGCCTGTTGCAGTCAGAGCAGGGCGTAAAACCCGAACACCGGGGCATGCTCCACCTGGGGTGAAGTCCGTGTTGGGACTCTAACTTCTAACTACACTACTTAACAACCACTTAAACACTAACAACTATAAACAAACTGTTTACAAGGCCCTAAGGCTTGAAGACAGCAGAAACAAAACAGATAGCTCTTGCTAGGCAAGGAAAAGGCACTTTGACTAACCACCACGAGCGGTAAGAAGAACTGAGAGGGCGTAGGGTTGGTGGTGCCTATTATACCGACATATGAGCGCGGCACTCAAGAGGGCGCCACAGACGACCCTACAGATACCGCTAAGGCAAATATCTCAGATGACCACGCGCATACCTAGAATGGAATCGACATGAGCAAGCATTCGAAGAAGAAATTATATTACAAGATAAAAGAAAAAAGTATATAGTCAAAAAAGTCTTGTTTGGGTTTTGTAACATCTATTTTATTTCCAGAAAAAAATTTGCAGAAAAAATTCAACACCTTTGGACCTCATTATACATACACATCTGCAACTGCCTTCACAGCATAGTGATCTGCTTGCTCTGCATTAACTTTAATTGTGTTCTACAATTATGTTTAAGGTTATAATCCTAACATGTTCACACACAAGCTTAACTTTACACATATGAATAAAGTCAACAGAACTACTGTGTGTAGAGTTACTTGTGTATTTGAAGGATCTGGGCCCAAATTTGTTTCTGGTACTTAATTATGGTTAAGGATAAATGTAAATTCAAACTGCATATCTAACACAAATTAGCTAATATCTAATGTTCATGTACCTGTGGGTGTTTGAACAACATACCCCGATGTAAAGAGGCTCAGTGACTGTGAAAGTTCTCAGAGTTGTAAAGTCTGTTTTTCTATTCACACATCTCAAATCTGTTTGTGTGGATAGAGAGCCTGGCTCTGTCTGTATTAATTCAATTCATACAGTTTAAGAACTTGTGCTAAATGTGAAATAAATCTGCAAGTTCTAATGACAGGGTTACCATAATTCTCCCATCAACCTCCACAATCCAAAGATAAGATCCAGTATATCCTCAGCTATACTTTGAACAGAATATTGATACTGAATACTAATACTCACTTAGTTCTTCTTATGCACCACGACTCTTCTAAGATGTAATAATTCACTCCTAGTCTTAACAATTCTCTTTTCACTTCTTTTGCTGGTTTTCGACTATACATGGAATACACTATTTTAGTTCTGGCCCTTTGAAAAGAAAAAATCCATAAAAGTTGTTAGCAAATAGGATGGGAGGGTGGGGAGAACCAAATTATTTAGGATGGATAAAATAGCCAGACTGAGATAGTATAACGAGGGGGGTTGTATAAAAAAGGCAGACAGCTCTGTAAGAAAAGCATGTAATAAAATTATATTTATGTTAGAATACTTGGGTTTTACATTTTTTAAGTTATTTGCCCTCCTATTTTAGACAAGGCACCAGGAAACACTGCAGCTTATTATTTCATACCGACTGTGTATCACTTGTGGGAGAGAAGCAACGACTTTCTACTGAATTGGCCTTTAGGACACATTTATATTGTAGATGATTCAGTTCCAGCCATTTTGTTCTAACTTCACTCAGATTCATTCCAGAGATTTTGACTGAAGTGGGTTAAGTTTCTTCTGGTTTAATGAGAAACAAGATGAATGTCCGGTGTGGACCCCTGTTTGCCCTCCCAGGAAAGTGAGCTTCCTTAGATTTGTAAAAAGAGACTTCGAGACAGAACTTGTTTCTTTCCATTTCCCACTAGACTGAACAGAACATGATTTTAGTTTAAAGACAAGAAAGGGTGAGCAGAACCACCAAAAAGGAAAGCCTGGCATTATGATCTACTGTCAATGCACTGGAGTAATGTACATAATCATATAATAACCTTAACAGAATCCTATTTGTCCTGTAAAAGAGAAGGTTAGTGAAAGTCTGAAGACATGCAGTGAATCATTTAGAATATGCTCCACAAAATCCTGTCAGTCTAGTGCTCATATGACGGTGGGATGGGGAAGTAAGGCAAATAGCTGTTTTGCAGACTTGTCCCAAAATATTAAGGCTCTGATACCAAGTACAGTTGAAGGGGATTGTCTGGAGACAGAGAGCAATATGATTGTAGTTGGGTCTTACATCTGAATATAAACATACTATAAACATGTGGCAATATCTGTGTGCTCCCCTTCCCCTACCCTCTTTCCACAAACTCGAGTTGCCAAAGACTGTTGCAATGATACTTGTGGATAAGATACAAGATGTTAAACTTTTTAAATAAATGAATTTCAGAAGCCAATTTACACAAAAAGTTCAGGTTCTGAAAATTGCAAGGAAAACAAATTAAGCCATCAAATGCCATATGAAATGAACTGACAAAAAAAGTCTGTGCAAAATTTGAATTTCAATCTGTCTTAATAAAAGAAGTTCCTAACTTAATAATCAATATTTAAATAATATGTTTTAATATTTCAAGAAAACACAACCCTTGTTTACAGTAATATCTAAGTAATTATAGCTGCAGTCTTGAGAAACGGTCTGTTCACTGGGCCATGGGAAAACAGAGCAACAAGAGGTAGATTTAGTAGGAGGATGTTGCTTCAGACTTCATAATTACACAATATTTTTGATTACTAAGGCTATATTTATACTTAAATGCTACAGTGGCACAAGTGCAGCTGCATTACTCTAGCACTTCAGTGGAGAGACTACCTATGTTGACAGGAAGGCTTCTCCCATTGGTGTAGGTAATCCACCTTCCCAATGGGCGGTAACTCAGTCAACGGAAAAATTCTTCTGTTGATCTAGAGCTGTCTACACCAGGGGCTAGGTTGGTTTAACTACGCCACACGGTGGTGTGGATTTTTCATACCCCCTGAGCGACAAAGCTAAGTCGACCTAACTTTTTAGTGTAAACCAGCCTTAAGTCTGAACCATTACCGTGTCTCTACTCCTTCTATCCCACAATGGACTATTGTCCTTCAACTTGTTGATGACTATTTTAAAACAATGTTGATTAGTCAAATAAAAATATGACCTAGGACCTCATGGATTTAAAAAAAATTGTACTAGACAACATGACTATCATTACTAAGGTACATCAAAAGGCTAAAATAGTTAATGTTAGAGGAATAAAACTGAACTTCGAAATTTACCTCAGCCCTGCATCTTCATAATGGGGATGATTGACAATAGGTCGAAGGGCAGACAACTTGACACTTGCCATTGTAGGCATCGCTCCTGCAAAAACAGCATCTGAAATATATAATGAAAGACTTATTTAAAATAAAGAAGGGGAGAAGAGATTTTCAGTTTCAGATAGTAAAACCAGCATAGCTGTAGGACAATACAACAGAATAAATGTAAGGAAGGAGAGAATGTTGCACTTAAAAAAAATAATCCTTAATTTAATTGCTCTGAAAGCTTGGTTCAAATTGTCTTTTGAGCATCTCTTCACAGGCTAAGGCCAAGGATTTTCAAAACTAACGATTTATTTGGGATGATAAGTACCCTCTGGGGTGTGTGTGTGTGGGGTAAGGGGGGGAAAATC